CATGTTCTTCATTCTTTTTGTTACTTGGTGTGTTTTGTGTTTTGTTTGGTGACGGTTTTTGCATTTCTTTGGGGTTCTTTTATGTCTCTTTGTCTGGTTTGTCTTTGTGGGTGTTTTTCTTTTTGTATTTCTGTGTTTTTTGTTGTTGTTGGTTTTTTTTTTTTACATCTCTTTGTTAGTGAAACAAGCGAAACTCGACTCCACCTGTGAACCGTTACCAGGTGTTAGCGGGGAACTGAACCGGTAACCTGCCGCTGCCTTGCTCTGCTGTAACTCTGCTGTACGCTGGTCCGTCCTCAGCGCCTCACGTCGTCTACCAGACCGGGAAGAAGCCAGAGGAGCCCTGCTCCATCACCTCCTCCCTCAACTACTTCCCCGAGGACGAACCTGGCGAGGCCAACGTGACATCGCCGCCCCGTATGCCGCCGTCCAACCTCACTGTGGTGACGGTGGAGGGATGTCCGTCCTTCATCATCCTGGACTGGGAGAAGACCGACAACGACACCACCGGTACAAAGACCAGCAGAACCTCAGCGGTTCCTCAAGCAGAACATCTGCCAGTTTCAGATGTTTCAGAAACACCTCGTATGTTTTAGTTTGTTGTAAAGACACCAGGAGCTTCTGACTGACTTCAGACCTTCACTTCTACCAATAATAAGCAGAAAATTCTCTTCATGTGTTAGCAGGACAAACATCTTCTATTCTGTTTAGCTTAGCATAGCACAAACACTTACCGCAGAGGAAAACTGCTAGCCTCCTTCTAGCAAAGTGAAAAACACCCATTTCTGTGCTTGTTGCTCCACTAGCAAGTTCTTACCAGAGTCTTCAGCTAAAAGCTAACTGTTAGCATTGACATTTTGGGAAGTCCTTAGCATGTCTGTCGTTAGCATAGCTTAGCATAAACACTGGAGCAGGAAAATACTGTTAGCTTGGCACAAAGACTGGAGGAAGAGGGGAAACTGTTAGCCTAGCTTAGCACAAAGACAGGAGGTGGGGAGACACTTTTAGCCCAGTTTAGTACAAATACAGGAAGCAGGGGGAAGTTATTTACCTAGCTGTGCGCAAACATAGGCGGTAGGGTGAGCTGTTAGCCTAGCTTAGCACAAAAACGGGAGCAGTGGGAAATTATGTGGAAACAGGAAGAATCTACCTTTCAACAGGCAGTGTGGCTGCCGTGGCAACAGCAAGCACATAAGGTCATCCTTTGGCTAACTAGCAGCTTGTTTGTGCTGGTCCTCAGAGTATGAAGTGATCTCCACGGCTAAAGGACCAGACGGTGAGCAGGTTTCCATCCTGACCACCAACCAGACGCACACGGCTGTGGAGAACCTCAAACCTGAGAGCAGGTGAGTCACAGCTGTCAGTAAAACAAGAACAGATTGCGATCAGAGCTCATTTTTAGTTCAGTTTGAGGGTTTCAGCGTTATATGTTACTTTATACTCGACTATGTTCCGTACTTTTTACCGCTACATTTATTTACTGGACTTAATTTCATTTGCAGATTAATTTTAAGCTCTTTAAGCCAGGAGGGGAAGGGAAACTGTTAGCCTAGCTTAGCATAAAGACATTTAAGATTGTTTATGCGAACTGTAATTACAGCACAGAAAAGGACAGACGCCTTCAGACAGACACGTCCTTTGTGTTTCATTAGAAATAACTAAAAAAAAAAGACTAATCTGTGATCAAGACAAAGAACACATTGATACTAACAACAGACGGATTTTTAAAATCTAAATATGACTTTTACACTTTCTTTGTGTTCTGTGCACATTAATGACGTCTTCAGTGTCACCTGGAGTCAGTAAACGTCTGAAGCTTGTTCAGCCAACAGTCCAAACTGGTTCAGTTTACGATCAAACGAAGCTGAGAAACCGTTGTTCAAAATGCCTCGCAGGCGTTTCCTGATTTTCTGTTTTCTTCTGTTTCTCAGTTACGAGTTCAAGGTGAAGCCGAAGAACGAGCTGGGTGCAGGTCCTCCCAGCGAGCCGGTGTCCTTCAGCACCGAGTCTGGTACAGTTTTACCTGCTTCACATTACCAGAACCAAACTCAGGCTGTTCATGGAGCCACCAGCAGGGGGCGACTCCTAAAACAACAGAATCACAGTTCATGTGAATCCTGAATCCTCTTCGGCGTAAATCAGAACATCATCGGCGTACAGTCGAATACAGAGTTTGTTTCAGATTAAAGAAGCAGAGTGACATGAAAGGGACTCGTGTTCAGATGTGTTCAGGTGTAACAACGTCACACTTTTACCTGGACTCAGATCTGAACTCATCATAGACTGCCGGCAGAAATCTGATTCATTTAATCAGCTAAACCCACAGTAAAGTCAAGTGGAGGATATTGACGTGGTGTCATCAAGTTCTCTGTTGGATCCTCTATTTACTCGTTACATCCGGTTTGAAAAACAAGATGGCGACGACCAAACTCCAATCAAATACCAATAGGTGACGTCACCGTGGTTACGTCCACCTTTGGATACAAACTGTGGTTGGAGCTGAAAACCTTCTTGTCGATGGTACTGAAAACTTACCGTTCCTGACATTCCTTAATGACTTGCAGGTTGTTTCCTTCGTTTGGACGCACAGTCGTCTCAAAGACCAGAAGCACCAGTTTCCCGTCCTCTCAATATTCTCGTGCAGCAGAAAGTTCTTTAATGTTCTCAGTATATTCTAACAGAACCAACTGTCATTGTTCTGTTTCCTACTCACAGTTTCTTCAGTATTTTTGAAGGAAATGATGATGTTGTGTTGTTGTCTGCACGCTGTTAACATGTTGCTGTTGTTCCTTCTGTAGCGGATCCCCGAGTGAGCGAGAACGTTTCAGGTAAGTCAGCCTCTACAGCGTCATCCATGTGTTTGTGGCATCGATAAAGCTTTGTCAAAATGTCCAAACCTTCTTTGACTTCCAGGTAAAGACGCCATCTGGACTCAGTTCCCGTTCAAGACCGACTCGTACTCCGACTGCCACGGCAAACAGTACGTGAAGAGAACCTGGTACCGCAAGTTTGTGGGCGTCCAGCTGTGCAACTCACTGCGGTACAAGATCTACCTGAGCGACTCGCTCAATGGTGAGTACAGACACTGGGGTTCTGCCTGGTTCTGATCAGATCCAGGAGCTGATCCGACTCATTCTGCCCTGCAGGTAAATTCTACAACATCGGAGATCAGACGGGCTTCGGTGAGGATCACTGTCAGTTCGTCGATTCGTTCCTGGACGGACGGACGGGAAAGCAGCTCAGAGCTGACCAGCTCCCGAACCGACCCGGTTAGTTTCCTGAGAAAAGGACTGAAACATCTATTAAGTAATTTACTGAAATCAAGACTCAACCTCAAGGACTCAGTTTTTCCCTCATCCTTTCAATTATGTAACAATTCAGAGAGATGGCAAAATCTGTTGTTTACCTGTTTCTCCTTCCAGCCTTTTTGCCAATCAGGAGCGATTGATAGATGTCTAGCCATTATTCTGAAGACCTGAGACCACACAAGTTTCACAGTCACAGTCCTGCCGAGTGTTTGCTGCTTGTTTTAGCCACAAATGAACAAACGTCAAAGTAAAATCCTGAAAAGACTTGGCAATTCATTCGATTTTTTTGATAAAATCTTGGGCGTAAGTTCATCTCACAAGCTCTTGTCGTTCCTGGTCCAGGTTTCTACCGAGCCGTTCGTCAGGAGCCGGTCCACTTCGGGCAGATCGGAGGACATTCCCACGTCAACTACGTCTCCTGGTACGAGTGCGGGACGCCCATCCCCGGCAAATGGTAGTTGGACCCACAGGCGTCCTTGGAGAAGCCCGCCAGGAAGTTCACGGTCCGGACTGGGATGGCAGCGGGGGTCCTTAGAACCGGCCGACCCTCCACCATGTTACCCAGAGCTGTAAAAACATGTAGAGGACATACTCGTCAGGGAATTAGTAACGAGAGAGCAGTTTTTAAATATAGAAAACGTGCCTCATCTTGACTATTTATCAAGCATCAAGGCTGAAGTGACGTCGGGATCGTTCGGTTCCTCCGACTCACGCTAGATATATTTTATTTTGTGTTAAAGAATGGGAAGCTGGCTCCCTGGATTACTATTTTCATAACTTGTGAGATGTTATTTATCAAAAGGTTGGATTACATTTCTTAAACAGGAGTTGTCGGGTTGTCACGTGATTTTGTTGTTTTCAGCTGAAGTCTCTCCTGTTGGTCTGCTTTGTAAAGTCAAGTGTTCTAACGGCGGTGGACCAGTTTAACGGCCTTCACCGCTTCACTGGACTTTATACTGTTTGTTTCTGCAACTTGCTGGATTTTGTAGTTTTTCTGTCTCATTAAAAGAAAAGACCCCGAAAACAAAGAGTCAAACACAGAACATAGACCAACCTGCTCCGAAAGTTCAGCACTTGGACTGAAAGGTGAAAATGGCCAACCAACCGTTTGAAACACAAACGTATTCATCATATAATTCTTATATTTAAGAAGCATCATGTTTTTAATGTTCCTGATTCATTGTCAGTCGAGTTCATTGAGCCGCTGTTTTCTAAAGTGCTCACTGCCAGTTTCGGTGCTTTAAGTAAACCAATCGTACATTGTTTCAGGTGAAATGCCGTAAAGCCGGCGGTCGGCACATTGGATGTGTTGACGGATCGCTGCCATGAGGCTTCTACACTTTGCACAGCAGAAATGTATTTATATGTATATGGAGAGAATGTATTTTTTCAGTACATTTTTGCAGATGCATTTCCCTCATCACGGCTTTTTAAACTGCTCTGACGCCTTCTTCTCGCCTCATGCTAAAGTAGCACGGGAAGCTAACAGAAACATTTGACCAACTAAACTAGATTTAATGAAGCATTTCTAAAGTTAATGTGTGTGTGCTAGCTTGCTAGGTAGCTGGGTGAGGATGTAGCAATGGGTAGTTGTTACCTCGGCTATCATGCTAACTGGTCCTCATCCATAGACTCCCAAGATTTCTGGCTTTCAGGAAGCTAACTGCCACCTGGTGGTTTTAATTTCAAATCTATGCACTTATAAATGGCGTCTTTCTTTATTTGAGCTTCCAGTACTCATATGTTTTAAGTAGGGTTTGCTAGCTTACGAAGAGTAAAACTATGGATTACTGTTTCCGTGGCTAGCTGGGTAATTAGTCCTGGGAAGCTAATGAAGGCTAACAAATCTGAAAGTGTCTGAATATCTGTCCTTATTTCATGAGTGACATTCATTCAGTGATTGTGGAGTGAATTTGTTGGCAGGTGGGATTTTTTGCTCAGTATTTGAAGCAGAAAGGCCCCTAGCTAACATGCTAATGATGCTTTAAACTGAGCCTAATGTTGCTGATGTTAGCCTCCCGTCCTGCTGCTGTGAGCTGCACGGTGGAGGGATGGAGCGCCACCACATGGTCCAACCACGTTTCCTGCTTCCTGTTTCCTGCTTCCTGCTTCCTGTTTCCTGCTTCCTGTTCCCTGCTCCCTGCTTCCTGTTTCCTGCTTCCTGTTTCCTGCTTCCTGTTTCCTAACCTTTCCACTGACTGTACGATGCTCGGAGCCCGTCAGGGATCAAATCAAACACACGGAAATAAGAGTGTTCATGTTTTTCTACCTACGTTTGTTTCTATACTGATTTTAAACAATAAAGAAGTTTTGATTCCTTTTTTAAAACGTGTTTCTTTATTTAACCTCCAGAAGCAGCAGATTGTTGTTCAGATTAAAAACTAGTTTCTGATTAAACTTCACTCAACAGAAATAATCAGTGACCTCCTCAGAACATCTGGTTCTGGTTCTGCAGTACCTTTATCTACTGACCAGAGTTCTACCTTCAGACTGTGAATGTTCCAGAGGTCCAGGTCCTTGAAGTCCACAGAGGAGGGTCCAGATTGATCACTTTAATGGACTTTTTCCATCATTTCTGAGCCTCAGAACTTCATCAGTACAGC